TCCTTGAGCATCTTTTGCTCAAGGCTAGCACTCTACCACTTGAGCCACAGCACCAACTTCTGGGTTTTTCTGTAATGAATTGGAGATTAGAGTTTCATGGACTTTGTTCAAGCTGGCTTCAAAATATGAGGCTCAGATCTCAACCTCCTGAGTAGTTAGGATTACAGGAGTGAGCCACCAGCAACTGGCAAGGGATGTATTTAAATGACTTTTTTTTTTATTTTTGTCAGTCATGGGCCTGAACTGTGGGCCTGGGCACTGTCCCTCAGCTCTTCAGCTCAAGGCTAGCACTCTACAACTTGAGCCATAGCACCACTTCCGGCTTTTTCTGCTTATGTGGTGCTGAGGAGTTAAACCCAGGGCCTCATGGATACAAGGCAAGCACTCTACCACTGAGCCACCTTCCCAGCCCTTAAATGACTTATTTTGTCCCTGCAGAGTGTAGCTCACGTAGTAATGTGTTTGATTAGTAAACACAAGACATAGCATCAATCTCTAGTACCAGGAAAAGCATTTTCTAAACAAGTGTCTCATTTTGTTTTTGTTAATTTCTCTTTGCTTCTTAGTGTTTTATAGATGAATTTTATACACACACATTATCTGCTTTCACGTATTCTAGTGGTTTTCAGATGGCTGATGAGTGGAAGACTAGCTTCCTGATGGTTCCACTGTATCCATACAGTCGGCTCTCCTTGGTGCTCTGACGTCAGGAGGCCAGAGTGGTCTACTTCAGGCAGGCATAATGAGCCACATGGACAATTTCAATGTCTTAGATCTGAGAGGAGGTTGTTTTAATAACGAAGAAACTCATGGTGCTTGTAGAAGGGAGTGATACACATCTCAATTTTATGCAGATTTCAGTATGAGAGATAGAATTTTCTCTTTATTGTTTTTGCTGCCATATAACACTGTCCAAGAGAATTCATAAGGTCCTTAACCATGCCTTAGTGGAATGTAAATTTTACTATAGCAGGAGACTTTGTCTATGTTGTTCTGTATTGTCTCTGACCTATTGTAAACACTTGCATGACACTTAAGCAGATAGACATACAATTACACAGCTATTGATTGATATAATGGTTTTTTTCTTTAATCTGAGATCCAGTCTTGAACTTGGTATCTGATGGTTTCACTTCTTGTCTAATACTCTACCACCTGAGTCATACCTCCAACCCTAATACAATCTTAATTGCTTAGAACATAGTGAAGATCTTTTCTAATGCTGGTGTTATAGTTAATATTATTGATGTGGGTTAGAAAACTATTCTGCTGTTAATCTGATATTAACATTGGCATGACCCCCTTTGTTAATAGTTTCCAATCCTTTATGTATGCTTTGAGAAGTTAGATCACCCTTGTAGATCACTTCTTAAATTTTCTTAGTTTCCTGCTATGTGCAATCTTTCATTTAACCTATTTAATAGTTTAAAGCTGCATTTATTGCACTTTATACTTACAGAATTTTTTTTATTATTGTTACTGGGGTAAGTTGGAATCTCAATGGTTTGATTTAAGCAGTTATACCTAGGGGTCTCAATTCAACATGTCAGTTTAGGAGTATAACGCGTTATCAATGTCACCCCTACCCTCACTCTCCCTCATCTCTCCCATCCCATCAATTTTCCTAGTTCAACTTTCATATATTTACATTGAATATTATGTCTATATTCTCTCACCCTTCCTCTCTCCATTCCACTATTCCCTCCCCCTCCTCTTGACACCACCTTCTCCGTAACAGCTCAGGTTCTAGATTCCTGCTATTCATTTTATTATACCATAGGTGAGTTGTTGAAAAGAGTTACATCACTGGGATTCATATGGACATTTAATCCATTACTGGGGAAATTTAACAGAAGCTACATTTATGAGGAGATATATAATATTTAAACATAAATATTCAATACCATAAATATTTCACTAGTTCCATATTGGTATATAGATTCATAGTCAAATATCCCAAAAGGGATATGTGTAAATTGAGAAATAACTTATAAAATTACAAAATTCATGTCAATGCAAAGTGCTGAGATTTTGAAAAATTTAAAGAAAAAATGGCAGAACTTACACCCTAGTATGAAGAACATAAAAATATACATTGAATTTGCCTTGCATTAGTACAAATATATACAAGTAGATTTAAGAACACTGAGACTACAGGAACATTCTTAGGCTTTGTGCCTCTATTGAATGTCTTACTTTTCTAGGGCTCAGTCTCTCAGAAGTCTGTGGCTATAAGCTATTAAATGCCCCAAACTACATTCCATCCCGGGAGAAATGATTATCTGATTGGCCCCATCCCTCATGAGGAAATGGACATCTTCATCTAACCTGAACTACCTCTTGGGAATACAGGGAAATGCATAAATGTTTCCATTTCTCTTACTAGAATGCTTCCCACTCTGATATTACATTCACTTCCTTCTAAATGAACATTTACCACTAACTTTGTCCAACTAGAGACAGAAGACAGGAAATATTTACATATGTAAAGATTATTATTTGAAAGTAATAATAATAGTCAATAATATTAGTAATATTAATGGGCATTATATTTTTTAAAAAAAGAAAAATTTCTAAAGACCACAGAAATACAATTAATAGAAACCTAGATTTCCAATGCAGGTGTGTATGATTCTGAACTCTCAGCTCTATATCCAATTTCTTCTTGGAAGTCTGTATCCACAAATGGCTTACAAATTACTGTAAACTAATTTCTCCAAATCTGTTGTAAAACTCACTATCTCTATAAGAAGTGTTCTTACTTGTGTTTTATTTTATCTGTCTTTTTTAAATGTCTAATTACACCAATAAAAGCATGGATGGGAAAGCCATAAACCTAGTTTCTCATTCATTCTCCTATATTACCTTCCAAAAAAATTAATCCAACACTTGAATATTTAAATTTGAAGTGCATATAAGTCATTCCTGTATATGCAGATATATACATATATGTATATATGCATAGATAGATAGATAGATAGATAGATAGATATAGAGAGAGAGCTATCTTGCCTTTACTATAGCATTGGCCTTGAACAGGTCTTAATCTATTTCCTGTCTCTCTGAGAGTATTTCAAAGTCATTTCTCTATTGAACTCAGGGCCAAGCTCTCTTCCACTTGAACCACACCTTCAACCACTTCAAAGTCATTGTGAAAGAGTTTTTAGTCTTTCTTCTCTAGTCCAGTTTTTGTGTACAATCCAAAGTGGACATTTTCCCAATCATATAGAATTGCTTCATGTTTCACTGTGAAATTCTTCAGTGATTCTATTGCCCTCAGGATCATACAAAAATCCTTTTCTTCCTTAGGCTCATTGAAGGAAATGGCAAACCTGAAATGAACTTCTCAGGACAGCTAAGAACCTTGAATTTTGTTCTTTTATCATTCATTACCACTTTCTTGATTATTTGAACAATAAATGTCACACTTATTGACCTGCTATTTTATGTAAGATAAACCATTGGTGTGTTTGCAATATGTGTTAGATGGAATTGTGTTAGAGGTATCCATACTCCTGTTAAGAAAGAGTCTTACCTTCTCCACTGAAATAATGTCATATATTGAATAACACTGAACATAACAAACAACCTGGGATTAAGCAAGAGTAAAATTAGCATTGTGACACAAACCCCCAAGTCAAGACTCAGAAAGCTGTTGCAGCTCTCCAAGGATCACTAACTTTTCTCATGTCTCCTACTCAAAAGCAGAACCTAGCCAACAGATGGGACGCACCTTTTCTGACTTGGTCGGGTGAAATGGACATTTCAGAAGAAGTGGTGTAACAATAAAATTCTGAGACACGTGAAGGTGCTCCTTTTTTCACTTAATAAGTTTTACTTACTTTTTTTCTTTCTTTAAAACAATTTTTAGTGGTTAATTTGTTCTTTAATTCATTTTTTGTGTATATAGTACCTGAAGGATCGACCCCCACCCTGTTTTCCCAGGCACACACGAACATCAGGCAAGCCACCAAAGATCTGTGCAGAGTGCCTGACAGCAGGCAAGACAATCTGAGCCTGGTTGTAAACATTCCATTGTGGGCCTAACCTGTAAGGCGCTGAGGCCAAGGTGTGAACCTGGAGAGGGTTAAGAGGTTGGAAGACAGAACTAGACCCTGTAAAGGTCAAACCATTTAGGCAAGACAGATGTAGAGCTGTCTGACTATTAAGAAAGCTTGAGACCTTGGATAAGGGATTCTCTGCCTGCATCTACAGTCACCTCCTACCTCTCCACCCCTATACTAAACTCAAGCAACCTCTGACTCCTTGCTCAGACTCCATAAAACCTTGACTCCGGCCCCACCCCTTGGACACAGCTCCCAAGCCCATAGAAAGGCTGTGTGGCTCGCTGTTCCTCAATAAACAATACTAGTCTGTGGAAGATCAAGTCCAGATTGTTTCCTTCCTTTCTCTTCCCTTTTCCTAACAGTACCAATGAATCAAACCCAGGGCCTCATGCATCCTAAGCAAGCACTCTATCACTGAGCCACATTCCCCTCCTGTATTTACTTATTTCTGAGGAAGAGTTACATCACCCAGAATGGCTTAGAGCCCACTATGTCCCATGCTTGCCTCAAATTCCTGATCCACCTTACCACTGCCTCCTGGATGCTGAAATAAAGACATAGTTAAGAGTAAATTCTCGCTGGGCACAGATGGCTCACACCTGTAATCCTAGCTACTCAGGAGGCTGAGATCTGAGGACTGCAGCTCAAAGCCAGCCAGAGCAGGAAAGTCCATGAGACTCTTTAATCTCCAATAAACCACCAGAAAACCAGAAGTAGTGCTGTGGTTCAAGTGGTAGAGCGCTCACCTTGAGCTGAAGAGCTGAGGGACAGCGCCCAGGCCCAGAGTTCAAGCCCCACGACTGACAAAAAAAAAAAAAAGTAAATTCTCAGTAACAGCTCTCCTGTGAAAGAAATATGTGAGTCTCTAGCCCATTGATCTGTGGTTTCTCTTTCCCTTCCTTCTTTGCTCAAAGTGGACTTTGATTCTGAAGAGCAAATACTGACTTCCTGGAACCCTTCACTTCCCTCCATGGCATCTGAAAGCAACTGGAAGAGTCAGAGTTTGGGAAACTGTAGAAGAAAGGCACTGAAGCTTGGGTGAGTTTAATTATTTGTCAGGCCAGTTGCTCTGAAGAGAGGGGGAGCCCAGCCAGCAGGCTTCCTGTGAGAGCGCAGACTGTGAGCAGTGCCTGTGGAGGGGAGGCCTGGGGAGAAAAAGGGGGTTAAAGGTGGCCAAAGGCTGCTTCCTGAGGGGAGAGCGACTTTCCCAGATGCAGTCTTCTGCCATCTCTTCTGTACTCTGTAATTCTGAATTGCTCCTTGGTGAAGGGAGTCCGCGTGATCTCTCCCTGCCAGCAACAGGTGCCAAGCCAGAAGGATCTTTGAAAAGGAATGAAGGGCTGGGAAGGTGGCTCAGTGGTAGAGCGCTTGCCTTGCATGCCTGAGGCCCTGGGTTTGATTCCTCAGCACTACATAAACAAAAAGAAAAAAGCTGGAAGTGGCACTGTGGCTCAAGTGGTAGAGCGCTTGCCTTGCATGCCTGAGGCCCTGGGTTTGATTCATAGCACCACATGAACAAAAAGAAAAAAGCCGGAAGTGGCGCTGTGGCTCAAGTGGTAGAGCACTAGCTTTGAGCTGAAGAGCTGAGGGACAGCGCTGTCAGGCACTCTGCACAGATCTTTGGTGGCTTGCCTGATGTTCGTGTGTGCCTGGGAAAACAGGGTGGGGGTCGATCCTTCAGGTACCACATACACAAAAAATGAATTAAAGAACAAATTAACCACTAAAAATTGTTTTAAAGAAAGAAAAAAAGTAAGTAAAACTTATTAAGTGAAAAAGGAGCACCTTCACGTGTCTCAGAATTTTATTGTTACACCACTTCTTCTGAAATGTCCATTTCACCCGACCAAGTCAGAAAAGGTGCGTCCCATCTGTTGGCTAGGTTCTGCTTTCGAGTAGGAGACATGAGAAAAGTTAGTGATCCTTGGAGAGCTGCAACAGCTTTCTGAGTCTTGACTTGGCCCAGAGTTCAGGCCCCACGACCGGACCCAAAATAAATAAATAAATAAATAAAACTTACCTATTGAAGGATTTATTACAGGTGGATTTTGACCAATCCCCCCCATTCAAATAAACAAATGAAAGTTAAGAAGGATCAAACTCAGAAGTGTACCCTTTGCACAGTTCAATACTTGGAGAGAAGCTCCCAGTCGGTGTGGCTTTGTAGTCACTTGTGTTTAAATCGTTATCAAACTTGCCAAATGTTTTCCTGCTCTTAATTTTGTGACAATATGCCTTTCAAAGAGCAAGTGTCCCTTCCCCCGCCTCCCACCCCCCCATGAACCGAAAGTTTAAAAGTCCTTAAGGGAAGTGGAAAGTGAAACTTAGATTTGTCTTTACGGGAAATTGAGCAACCTTTCTGGAAAGCACCCATGATTCTCCAGATAAAGAGCAAGAGAAAGATTTTGTTTTGGGTGAGCAATATTAATGTGTTCAGCAGCAATTTCCTGACAACTATATGACCAATCCATTCAGTTTCAATTTCTGGATATTCCTGTACACAGGGAATAGGTAAATTGGAGTAACTCCAGTGCTGCACTCGAACCTGAGCATTGCTAGTTTTTCCTCAAAGACATTCTCCATGGATATTGGAGTCTGCTCTGTGCCTCCTGCCCCACCCACAGAAGAGAACAGCTGATGTCCCACTTTATTAAATTTTGTTTTTAAAAAATTACTTGTGCCTAGGGGCACTAATAGGTCATACTTGTAATCCTAGCTGCTCAGGAAGCTGAAATCTGAGGACCCAGGTTTGAACCCATGCTGGGCAGGAAAGTCTGTGAGACTCTTCCCTGCAGTTATTCACCAAAAAGTTGAAAGAGAAGAGTCAGCGCCAAAGCCCTGAGTTCAAGCCCCAGGACCAGCACACACACACACACACACACACACACACAGACACACACACACAGAATCCTGCACATACTCACTAGGAGTAAAGTAAAACAATGTTATCTGTTACAAGAAAGATGAGCTTAGACCAAATCTCTTTTCTTTCCCTCAATTTTTTCACAACATATTAATTGTATAAATGAATGTCATTTTAAGATTTCTAAAAGACCTACAAGCAAATAATAATAATAATAAATTACTTCATTGTTGTTCATTCTGTTTCCTTGCATCCCTCCTTTTGAACAAATACTAGTGGGTTTGTATTCATCTGTTTTCACATATGCATATGAAGTACTAGATCATACTCTCCTCCTTCCTTTCACCCTCTTCTTCCACCCTCCCCCTCCCCATAGCATTAGTTCCTATCTCCAAATAGTCCTTCCTCTCCCATTTCATAATGTTGGCATTATTTTTTAGGTTTAGATTTGTATTCTCAGTGTGCCTTATTTCTTTAGACATGATACTCCATCCTAGCAATTTTCCTTACCATATAGAAGTTATGTTTTCTCAGCCCAATTTTCTGAAGAGATTGTCCTAGTGTCTTTGTAGTGTCTTAGCCAAAAATTACTTCAGTATATGTTTTAGGTTTATTTCTACTCTGTGTCTGTTTTCATGTCAGTATTGTTTTCTTTAACAGTGCTTTTCAACTTAGCCAGTGTGATACTTCTAGGCTTGCTTTTTTAGAATTACTTTGGCCACTTGCAAGGTTTTGTTATTTTATTTTATTTTATTTGTCGGTCGTGGGGCTTGAACTCTGGGCCTGAGCACTGTCCCTCTTCAGCTCAAGGCTAGCCCTCTACCACTTCAGCTACAGTGCCACTTCCGGTTTTCTGGTGGTTTATTGGAGATAAGATTTCACGGACTTTCCTGCCCGGGCTGGCTTTGAACTGCGATCCTCAGATTTCAGCCTCCTGAGTAGCTAGGATTACAGGCATGAGCCACCGGCTAGGTTTTGTCATTTTTAACAACGCTTTTCTTATTGTGTAAAGAGTATCACTGGAATTGACAAGAATTACACTGAATCTGTAACTGGCTTTGGACACATAAGGGTATTTTAACAATGGCAATTCTTTCAATCCATGAACATGGGGCGTATGCTATCTTTACATATATTTATGATCTCTTTAATTTCTTTCTTTTCATTAGTTATAGTTTCAGTGTGCAGATCACTTATCTATTTTGTTGAACTTATTCTCAACTATCTTTGTTTTGGATCTCTTTCTCTCCCTCCCTTCTTCCCTCTCTTCTTTCACAGCAACATACTGTATATTCCAGGCTGGCTTTTAACTCAAAATTCTCCTGCCTCAACCTCCCCAGTGCTGAGCCCTATCATGCCCATCTCTGGAATAGTTTTCTTTAATTCTTTCTCAAGTTGTTCATTATTTGTGTACAAAAATGTATGTAGGGGTTGGGGATTTAGGTCAGTGGAAGAGTACTTGCCTAGCAAGGGCAAGGCTCTGAGTTCGATCCTCAGCTCTGAAAAACAAACAAAGAAAAAGGTACTTAATTTTTCTATTTATTTATGTATTTATTTTTCTAGTCCTGGGGCTTGAACTCAGGGCCTGAGCACTGTCCCTGAGCTTATTTTGCTCAAGGCTAGCACTCTACCACCTGAGCCAAAGGGCCACTTCTGGCTTTTCCTGTTTATGCGATACTGAAGAATTGAACCACATTTCCAACCCTCTATTTTTATTTTCTTTTTTTTTTTTTTGAGAGATCATTCACATAACTTTTATTAAGTATCTTGCTCTAGTCTCTGCTGTACTATTGTTAATCTTCCTGTGCCTGTTTATAAACTGTACCATACACAAATTGAGGGAGAAGAGAAAACAAATACAGTCATTATAGTCCATGTACATTGTACATTATGCAAAAACTGAACAATGTAATGATGGTAGGGCTGAGAGTGGGAAAAGGGTAAGAACAGTGGAAGGGGTGATATTGCTCAAGAAGCACTTACTCATAACCTGACTTGTGGAACTGGGACCTCTTTAGAGAACTACTTAGTTTCTTTTTTAAAATGTATCATAGGGATGCATTATAAGAATGACTATTCAGTAATGACCATTGAGAAATGCTCTTTGAAGATAATTCCTGTGAGGACTACATACACTATAGTCGCTAGATCCAGTATGCTGTAACTATCTCAATGCCACACCTTTCAGCCACGTGAGTTTACTCCATGGACACCATAGTAACTGCTGATAGGAAGACTTACTTATGCTACTCTGCCTTTTCTTTCTGCAGACCCTACAGCTTCTTTGACCCTTTTTTCTTTCCGTATTACCTCCTTTTCATTGAATGTTTCAGTGAGATATTGTTACCCCATTCTTAGGGGCTCTCGCTGATTTTCCCACCATGTCCTCACCAAAACTCGTGACAGCCAGGGACCAGTGACTCATAGAGGCTGACGTTGGGAGGTTTGCGATTTGAGGTCAGCCCTAGCAGAAAAGTTCACAAAATAAATTTTGATTATATAACTTTACAACTAATGGTTAAATTAACTTTAACCTTCTAATGTACTAAGCTGTACAGACATCAGCGTGTTGGGTGGTAGTCAGGAAATGTCAACTGACCAGTAAATGTGAATGATGAATGAAGACATAGGACTTCAAACTAGGTACACTTGTTCATAGGTCCCCTCCACTCCACACCCCCCCCCCAAAAAAAAAATCATACCAGGTGCTGGTAGATTACACCTGTAATTCAAGCTACTCAGAGACAGATATGAGGACCTCAGTTTGAAGCCAGCACCTGCAGAAACGTCCACGAGACTCTGGTCTCCAATTCACTGCCCAAAAGCCAGAAGTGGAGCTGTGGCTCAAGAGGTAGAATGCTCATTCAGAGCAAAATAAAAAAAGCTCAGAGACAGCACTCAGGCCTGGCACACTGACCATGTACACCTATCTGGGCATTAATGGCTTCCTTTACTGACTGTCAGATGGACTTTCCCAGTTCACTGGCCCCTACTTCGGAAGACAGTTGCACAGCCCATCTGTTCTTGACACAGACTGAGGCGTCTAATCCCTCCGGCGGTGTCCGCACGGGGCAGTGCAGCACTTGTAGAAGGTAGTCATTGGCTCGCCCGCAGAGCGGGTCTGAAGCTGCATGAAGTAAGCGCGGGGATGTTCGCATTTGGGACACGGCTCTGC